TTCCACGCGCTCAAACACTATCAAACTGACAAGATCGTTCACTGTCTATAGCCGGGTACCCATTACCACCTGGGTGATGTGAGGAAAATTTGTGCAAAGTGCCTTTCCCAAGGACACAAACAATGTACGGTCCCTGACAGGATTCGAACCCACGACCTTACGGTTGCGAGTCTGAGAGCCTGCCTATAATTACTATTAGGCCACCGACGCCTGATTTACACAGGACACAATCAGACATCAAAGGCCTGAGGCTGAGGCGAGGCCCCATGTCTTCGTCTTCAGCCCAGTCCCAAACTCACACTAAGTCAACAAGCCTAGATCTAGATTTAGATATCTAGATCAGGCTATCGGTCTCAGACGAGCACTTAAAGAAACAAATATTTTTTAATATTCAGATTTAAAAAAAATTTTTTAAAAATAAAATGTCAGACTTTACCTGCTCATTGTATTAAGTTGCATTTATTCCAGCAGTTGGCAGACTTTTCCCTGGGCTCTCCACTGACTGACTTTCACCCCAAAAAAAGGCTAATTCTAGCTTGGCTGCTTGCTAGGCCTGCCTGCTAAACAAGGCCAACAGGCTACTCAGACTCCAGCCTCGGCTCTTCCATTTTAAATTACTTATTTGATTTAAAGATCAATGCTTTTAATAAAACTGGATCTCGAAGCTTAAGTCTATATCTAGGCTAAGAGATCTCAGCGCAGAGGTCACCCTCTTCTCTCTGAGCAAAAATTCCATTCCACAAGTGACAATTATTCACATCATCATCAAAATGCTGAACGAGAGGCCATAGAACAAGAGGAAGGCTACTGGCACTGAACGATTATATCGGTACTCGATACTAGATGTAATCGTACATCAAACAGTTTTGCATGTGTGCAAAAAGTATTGAGCCACCGTTTCGTATAGATTTCTATACACTGATTGTAGGCTAGACTAGGGAGAGATGGAAAAAAAAAATAATAATAAAATATCATAGACCTACAATCGTACTGTTGATATCGTTTCTCAGTCATTTCACTCTTGAATATTCACGGTTCTTGGATATTGTTTTTCTTTTGGATTCAAACCCAGTTTTCAAGAATCAGTGGAATGCGTTCTTTTGTTCCAAATGTTTTGTTTCGGTGGAGAAGTCGGCGTCCAAAATCTATTATTAGCATAATAAAAGGCTGAACTAAACATGGCGTCTGTTGCAGAAAGTGATTGTCACAAAGACCCAAACTTTGCAGTGATCTGCTCGTTCTTGGATAAATATGGGGAATTACTGGGATTACCCTCTGTTTCATATTCAGATTTGGAACGTTTTTTGGAGGACGAAACAAATGATGGTACTGTATTTGATGAATGGTTGCGAAATGGTTCTTTCTCTCTTCGTCATTTCAATCGCACCCCCCACACAAGCCAAGCCAAGGCTACTCTTCATCAAAACGAAAACTTCAAGTCTGAACAATAACTTTTAGTCTCCTGCCTTTCCAAGGCAAATGTAGACTTAGTTCTTTCTCGTAGATCCATTTCACTGGCTATGTGAGCTCTATTAATCAATTATCCCCTGTGTTTTAGATGGAGAACTGATTGAATTTGAGACTGTGTTGGGCTGATGATGGTTGTACACACAGTACACAGTACAGTATGTATTCTAAGACTTGAAGAGAAAGAGGTGTGAGTCTGGCCTGGGTCTCACTGTAGACCTGCTAATTTCTAGAAGATTAGAAGACTGTTTACTGTTTTTTTGGAGGGCTAAACTCTAGGCTAGGACAGAGTCAAGGAACTTGAATCAGGATCTAGATCTAGATCTGGGTCATACTGTCTCGTTATAATTATAGGTAGATTAAGATTCTAGGTTTCTAGCGTCAATTGCCACCGAGTGACGCGGTAGCAATTGACAAAAATTGACTTTTTGTCAATTGTCACCGAGTGAAGTGGTGTCAACTCTGAAAACAACACTCTCTTTAGCATTATAATTATACATTATAATGATAATGTGTGTCTTCTAAGGAAGTGGCTATTCTCATCCGGGGTGAGAATAGAAAAACGATCTACCTCTCACCCCGGGTGAGACTTGCCGGCGTAGGCTATTCTCACCCGGTGCGAAACAAGACCTGCTTTTCCTCATTTTGGAATACTGTCTATCGGTGTGGATGATCAAATTGATAAAAGCCAAGAAAAAATTACGTTATAGCACAAAAGTAAGCTAATTTGATTGTCTTCAAAGATGCTATGGCTATTTCACTGTTCGAATCGAGCCGAACTACGCGGGTCGCCATTTTGTTTTGCCCGGAAGTTCTAAGATCTACTCCTCCCCTCTCTCTCTCTCTCTGTCTCTTTCTGAATACTGTCTGTCGGTGTGGACGATCAAATTGACCAAAACAAAGTTAAAAAATGATGTTAAAACACAAAAGTAAATTAATTTGGTTGTCTACAATGATGCTACGGCTATTTAACTTTTCGAATCGAGCCGAACAACGCGGGTCGCCATTTTGTTTTGACCGGAAGTTCTCGCGCTACTCCTCTCTCTCTCTCTTTCTCTCTCTCCACTGCCCACAGTCACAGACACAATTGTACGCTTTTAGTAGGCTACAGTTGTAATGGAACATTTGTTCAAGGCACAGAATTCTACAATTTTTCTGTTATCACAGTGTAGAATTCTGTGGTTTAGGTTAGGGTGAAAGCAAAATTTGTTGGCCTAGATCTAGGCTATAACGGTGAACGCGCACCGGGTGAGAATAGCCAAAAGACTCGCCTGCACTATTCTCATCCCGGGTGAGAATAGAGGTGGCCGTCTTCTAATGGGTCAATTTGTTCTCAATTAATGGCCACCTCTATCTATTCTCACCCCGGGAGATAAAGACAATAGATGTTGGCACACACGCACACACACACACACAGAGTCAGAGGGACAGAGAGGCGAACGCACAACACCGAGCACTCGAGCACAATAAGCTAGATCTACCCACCAACGCAAAAGAGCTCCAATTTACTCGGCGACAATTGACAAAAAGTCAATTTTTGTCAATTGCCACCACGTCACTCGGTGGCAATTGACACTACCATAATTATAATCATTGAAATTGAAATCATTGTACAATGGCCACCTCTATTCTTACCCCGGGTGAGAATAGCGCAGGCGAGTCTTTTGGCTATCCTCATCCGGTGGGCGTTCTCCGTTATAGTCTAGGCCAACCAGTGAAGCGTTCACCCTGAACCACAGAATTCTACACTGTGATAACAGAATTATAGAATTCTGTGCTGTGAACAAACGTTCTAGATCTATTACTACTGTTAGAGTGTTAGCCTAAAAGCGTGCAATTTTGTCTGTGGGCAGTGGAGAGAGAGAGAGAGGAGTAGCGCGAGAACTTCGGGGCAAAACAAAATGGTGACCCGCGTAGTTCGGCTCGATTCAGAAAGTTAAATAGCCGTAGCATCTTTGTAGACGACCAAATTAATTTACTTTTGTGTTTTAACATCATTTTTTAACTTTGTTTTAGTCAATTTGATTGTCCACAACGATACACAATATTCAGAAAGAGACAGAGAGAAAGAGAGGGGAGGAGTAGATCTTGCGAGAACTTCCGGTCAAAACAAAATGGCGACCCCGCGATTCGAAAAGTGAAATAGCCATAGCATCTTTGAAGACAATCAAATTAGCTTACTTTTGTGCTATAACGTAATTTTTTCTTGGCTTTTATCAATTTGATCATTCACACCGATAGACAGTATTCCAAAATGAGGAAAAACAGGTCTTGTTTCACACCGGGTGAGAATAGCCTACGCTGGCAAGTCTCACCCGGGGTGAGAGGTAGATCGTATTTTTATTCTCACCCCGGGTGAGAATAGCCACTTCCTTGTACAATATCACTAGACTCTGTCTAGATCTACTTTTTATTAGGTTCAGGCAGTTTTTTTCCCCAATGAGAACACTACACATGGAGCTAACGAAAGTACTCTACACCGGCTTCTGATTGGCTAAAATTAAAATATATTCTTTCCTAGCCAACATCTATTGTCTTTATCTCCCCTCTTTCTTTTTTGTGTTTGATTCTCTCTTGTAACACCTTTCTAATCCTTCAAGTTGCAAGTGCCATAAAAAAAAAAAAAACACCACCAGAACAAACAAACCTATCATTTTAATGCTTCAGATCTTGACAATTTGCAATTTTGCTTTTTTTCATCCGAGGTGTTTTCCTTTATGTGATCTGAATTGATTTTAGTTCATCATGTCATGTATAATTGACATGAAAATATTCACAATGGCGACTGAAAAATCATACACTCTTTTACTTTAACTTTAAAAATTTGAGTAAAGGCGAAGGTATTGGTTTTTTAGCATCAATTTCACTGAATGAAAAATGGTAAAATAATTTAATTGTTGCATTTTTGTGAATGTGAGAAGAAATTTTAGCTCTTGTTGACAGAACATTCATTGACAGCCATTATAATACAAATAAAGAGAGAGTGGATGAAAGTTGAAAAATAATGCTCATCATACTTAACATGTTAAAGGCAAAAATATCATCTTGTCATATCAAATTTATGCTATATTTTACAGAATATTCTACATCCACTTTGCCTTCAAGTTTGTTACATATATAAATTTGGTCACAATTTCTAATTAATTTCGTAATTTTCAACTAAATGGGATTTACTGATCATACTTTAATTATTTGAAAAAAAAATGTTTATGAGCATTCGCTAGGTTTTTCTCAGACGCAACGTAATGCTAGCAGACTACTTAACTACCTATAAATAGATTCAGTGACTGGTCAATGATCTGTGCGTGTGAACATCAGCTATGTTTTGTGAAATTTGTATGTGATTGGTGTGTTTTGAGCTTTCGTAAGATATTTTGACAGGGATTGTCTTTTCTTTTCACTAACACTGACACTGACTCATTGTTGGGTTTGTTGTTGTTGTTTTTGAAAAAAACGATGCAACTCAAACGTTTGTGGAATCTATGGGCCAGACGGCGCTTTCTGTCCCATTCACCTTCTAATGCGTTTTTTGTTGTTTTTTCTTCAGATGTTTTTTTGGTCATTTTGGATATTTTTTTATAGACTGAAAAAAGACATTTAATAATATAATAGTAAAAAAAAATTACTATTGTTATCATCCACTTATCACAACTTGGTCTAATTTCATCGACAAATCAATTTTATGCCTGATGTGTGTGGGTTTTTTCCCTGTACTCAAATGATAGTTTTGTTTCCTATGTTCCACAGTATCACGGATCCTCATTGACATTCACGTGCGCCTCCTGAGAAGAATAGGAAAGTCGACTGTCAACTCAGAGCGCTTTGAGAAAAGCATCATAAAGGTATTGTGATCAAACTGAATGAAGAGCTAGCGTAGGAACTAATGAGCCTGTCGCTTTGATGAAAAAATTGTATGGAACTCACAAGGTCAATGCCTAGCTGACCTTCACACATCCTTTTTTTTTTTCCCTGTGAAAGTTTATTTTTGTCTACCAGGCATTATTAAGTACAGCACTGTCTGGAAAGTGCTGTGAGAAATGTTTAAAGTTTTTAAAAAGTAGTATTTTAACTTTTTTTAGTATTTGTAGTCGTGCAAAAGGCGATGCTCACTACTTGTTGCTGTGTGCAAAATTGCTGCTCCTTTTTGCGCTGTAGGAAGTCAAGTTAGAATAAAATTTTTGTTAAAAATTCTGTTTGAAGTGTAGTTATTGTATAAATTAATGAAAAATAAACTAACAAAAGTGATAGTACTTGCCATAAAAATGTTTTTGCCTCTTACCAGATGAACATATGATTTATACCGAAATCAAGACTCTCTCTCAAGTCTACTTGTATCTTATCCACGAATGCATCATGTCATTATCGCTACTTCATTAGTTGTCATGTTTTAAAAAGTCATAATTTAATAAATTTTTTCCTTTTTTTCTCCAGTTCTGTCATCACTTTTCAGAGTTTGATGCCTGGGAAGTGGAGAGCTATGGCTACAAACATGCCAAGTTATCCACCAAACTTAGAATTCTTAAGGTAAGAGAACTTATTGCTTCACTTACTTTAAAAAAAAAAAATTTTTTTTTTACTTTGAATAACTTTATAAATATTTTTTGTATCTTTGGATATGCTGTGTAATTAGTGCAATGAAAGAAAGAATCTGTTTTAGGGTTCGCTTTTTTGTTTCACTTTTCTGTTAAGCTGCCGCCTGGGCTAAATTTTAAAATGCATCTCTACAGTCCAGGCAAAGCTTTATCATGCATACTGTTATAAGATCCATTTGTCAAGGGTACTAAGACGATCTGCTTTCTCTGTGTCTACCGCCTAGCTAAAGCTGTATCATGCATCATAATGTAATAAGATTGTTTGTGAAAATGCAAGCAATCATGTGATACCTTTATAAATTTTTTTTTAGCATTATCTTTGTGTCTGTAGTCTATTGTATCTTTCTTGTTAGGGCAAAAATATACTTATTTTCCTGAGTTGTATTGGTTTCAAAATTTATTTTTTTACAGCATCTACTGGAGTGCCAGTTTGATTTCAACCTCAAGTTTAAGGAGAAGGTTAATGAGTCACAGGCTGAGGACATGCGCTTCTTGCCCATCGGGAGAGACAAGGATGGCCAGGCTTATTGGTACTTATTGGTAAGTAATTGACCTTGGCTTATATGTCAAATTCTTTGAATTTCAATGAAAGTCATATATGCATTTGATGTATGTTCTGTAAGCCATCCACTGACATTGGAATTTCAACTATCGACCCGCAGTAAACGATACATTTCCAAAAAAGCAAGAACAGACAGATATAGAAATTCATTCGTACCAACTGCAGTGAGGTTACTGAACACACAGTGCTACAAATAAAACAGAGAGAGAGAGAGAGAGAATGAATGTTTTACGGAGCGGGTTGTCCCAGCCCGTGAGGCATGTATTTACTTGGCCTAATGTCCTGTCTTGTTGTGAGTTTGTGTGGGTGCACCTTTAAGTCTAACTTTTGTAACGTCTACTGCCATTGTTAACGACCAAGACAAATTTCTCCCTGCGAGATAAATAAAGATTGTCATTGTCATTGTCAAAGGATAGTCTATAGTTTTTGTGCTTTTTTAGCGGAGTGAGGATTTTTTAGAATATGAACAATGTTTCGTTATTTCATATTGTTTGGCTGCTAGGGTTTATTCTAAATGTTGGGGGGTGGGGGGGTGTAAAAAGAGCAGATTGGGTAAGTTTCAAGTCTTTCCTTTCGACAATCTGACAATTACAGGGTTCAAATGTGAGTTTGTCTCTATCTTTTCCCCTCTCTCCCTTTTCCTCTTCTATCCATTTTTCACTGGTCAACAGGTACTCCCCATCTTTATTTCCGTTCTGTACTCTCCTCTTTTTTCCATTACTTTTGGTATTAGCTACTTCTTAGCTCAAGTGCTCAAAAGGAATGGAAAGAGATACAGAGAGTAGAGAATTGTCCAGAGCAAAATAGCAAATGTCATCGTGTCACTTAACTGTGTTGTATTGAATCCGTGACCAGGACAAAGATCTGAACCTGCTGGTGTACAGAGAGGAGCAGGATGACGAGGACGCGGACACTTGGGAGCTCGTCTGTCGGTCAGACATTTTTTCTTTTTTTAACTTACATTTTAGCCGTCTTTGTATTTTTATTACTATTTTTGTGCTCAGTCAGACATTTTTTTTTATTTGTTTTTTGTCTTTCTTTTTTGCAGTTTTTGTGTTTTTTATTACTATTTTCTGCTCAGATGTAAATTGATATTGCGTGCAGTTGTTATGATTACACTTATATGATTCTTATTACCCTAGACCTGATAAGATCCTTTTAAATATTACCGGATAATAAGATGTTGTTAGTTAGCTCTTTTTATAAAATGAGCGAAATCTGTTTAAACTTTGCAACTGCATATGTCTCACTGAGTTTAACTCTTAAATAAAGTCAAATAACCAACTTAATATCATTATTACTCTGGTACATACCTACCCATTTGGGTACAGACTTCTAACCCACAGGCACACTTATTGGTAAAATCACTGTTTAGACTCGTTTCATTCTTTAGCTTTATATGCTCCATAGTTATAAGTTCTCAGTTCTCCCAGAAATGACCTGATTTTTTCACATTGTTTCCTGTTTCAGGGACCGTCAACAGCTGGCCAGTCTGGTGAATTCACTGCAGACAGGCAGTATGAAGCCAAAGCAGGAAGAGGAAAAAACTAGCTCCAGTATGTGGTTACTTTGATACGTTTTTTCTTTGTTTGTCACAAATTTTGTCTGTTTTTCAAATATTAGGGGTTTGATCAAGATGTGATAGGAATTTATTTTGTTGTTGTTGGTTTTTTTACTTGTGTGGGGGGGGGGGGGGGCGTTAACCCTATCCGTACGTCGTGTTTTACTATCATATCCATACGACGTGAGGAACTCTGTGTCGCCATTTTCCAAAGAAAAAATTTGTTCGTTAATCTGATCCGTAAGCTTTGCATAGCAGTCTGTCAAAATGATTTTTTGAGAAATGCTGAAAGTTTCAAAGGGATCTTCGCACTAGAAGTGTTCTTAAATGTGAAAAATACAACCCCTGGGGTACGAAATGACCCCAGGCATTCAGATAGGGATAAAGATTCAGGCTGTAAAAAAATTGAAGATGTGATATGAGTTCAGGAAAAAAACTAAAGCTCAAGTGGACGCTACTTTGTTTATAAATTGAAAGCTGTTTTAGTTCAATGAGTTTCCAGTTTGGTAAGAGCATCTTATTTATATTTCTCATCTCTGATGAATTTATAAAACAATGAATGTTCATTTTTTTAAATAGTATAGAGCATTGAAACAGGGTCCATTATTTTATTGTCTTTTATATCGAAGAATAATGTAGTTTACATGTTCATTTTATTTCAAATTCAAGGATTAAAAATGAGAGTACGTTCAGCCCCACCACTTTTTATCCGTATTGTTTGTTACTATTTCATTTCCCTGTTTTTTGGTGGGTTTTTTCCTATAATTTAATGTTCAAACTATTATTAAATTTTTGACATGTAAATTAATAAAAGCTTGATATTGTTTCAGGTGGCTCGGGTAGCTCTCGCAGCTCGAAAGAAGGCAGCCCTGAGAAGGAGACAGGGAAAGTAAAATCTGAGGAGGTAGAGACAAAGGTCAAGGCAGATCCTGAGACTCGTATGGCTGCTGAAAGTAACATCTCTGAAGCAAACGACAAAAAAGTGAAAACAGATGGGGAAGACGATCCGAGGATCAGAATGAGAATTGGAGGCAACACATCCACTATTCTCACTGATGATAAGGCTGAATCGGGGCCTTGTGTTCTCGGCAGTTCTTCTGAAAGAGTTGGTGATAGATTGGGGGAGGATACCACAGCGAAGAGTGTTCATTTGTCCAAAAATGCACATGTTGTCCTGGAGAAAATAAACGTTTTTGCGGAAGGACAGGTGATTTCAGACAGATTATCTAGTGATAAAACAGCAGAAGTGATGAAAAGTACAGATGAATCCCTTAAAAGAATACATGCGAGTTCAGCCGATATACAAAAAGACATTACTCCTTGTGAGGAGGCTACTGGTTCCAAGTCGGTGCCCTCTGCCCCGGCCTGTTCAGACACAGCGCCAGGATCTGACCACTGTGCCAGTGTGAACACAGAATCGCAAGCTGCAGCAGTTGTGTCAGATCATTCTTGTAAAGAAAGTTCCCCTGTGGTACCTAGCGACCTTGCCTCAACGTCAGATGGGAGCGCCACCAAGCCACATCCCAGCAGTTTGGAAAGCAAAGAAAGTGAAAAGCTGAAATTAGAGGTGACAGTCAAGCAGGAAGTTCCCGATGCAGATAGTGGCAACAGTACAGGTGTGAAGTCAGTAGAGCAGCCTGTCCTGAACTTGTCTAAAGATCCGCCTGACAAGCAAGGGGGAAAGGAGGGCATTGCAAAGGATTCTGTTGTTTCTGTAAACACCAGTGAAAAGGAAATTGAGAAATCAGAAGGGGTAGTTAATCAGACCCCAAATCACGCTGAGGAGGGCGAATGTGGGAAGGAATCTCTAGAACAGAATTTGGTGTCTGAAAAGTCCACAGCACCTGTATCAGATCAGCCAGTTGTGGCACAAACTGACAAGAGCAAAGACTCTGATTCTGTATCAACAACTTGTGGGAATCCAGAAACGGATCAAAACAAAAAGACCCAAGTAAAAGGAAAGCTTGTGTCATCATCAGAACCAGTATCGGAGAAAGAAACTACAGGGACCAAATCGTTATCAGATTCTGAGCAGACTGGAACTAAAGAATGTGACAACAAAATGCAAGTAGTGGAGGAGAAGGAGGCAGATATGGTGGAAAAGTCAAAAGTAGAAGCCATGAAAGATTCTCAGGACACTTCTGTTGTGGGTGCTGGTGGGGAATCCTCAATCAGAACTAGTCAGTTGGTCAATAATTCTGTGGAGGACGGTTCTAAACCTTCAGAGTTTGATAAAGTAGATAGTGCAGGAGAAGGGACCAGCAAGGGGGTGGTTGTGAACAAAGAAACTACTTTGAACAATGTATTGGAAAAGACAGTAAAGACTAATGGCGTTGTGGGGAATTCTGTCAGTGATTTCGACATGAAATGTGACAGTCCTGTCCCAGCGTCTAAGCCTGAGGCCATCGTCAAAGACTCTCAGGCTGTAATAGTGAAATCCAGTGACGTTCAGATGAACGAAAATTCTTCCTCTGTTGCGAAAAGCGAGGAGACTGGAACAGAGAGTGTTCAGGTCAATGGGAAAGAAACCACCGAGCCAGTGAAACAGAAATCCAATGTCACAGAAGGGGATGCTGGTCAGTCAAAAGAAACCCCAGTGAAGGCTGTGAATGGGGACGGGGGTGATTCAAAAGCAGTTACGAGCACTGAAAGTGAAGATGCTGCGCCATCTGCACCTTCTGGAGAGGCTGAAAAAACCGAGGTGAAATCTGATGGTGCTGTTTCTGCTCCATTGGGGAATAAAATGACAAATAGTGCAGAAGAAAGTGAGAAAAGTGAGATTCCTGAGAAAGAAAATGAGCAAGATGCCGGTGATTCAAACACATGTGAAAAGGAGAGTGGGGCACAAGAGGCTGGTCAAGTGGAGGAAAAAACTGCTGACAGTTCAAAAACAAGTGAAAAGGAGAGTGTGACAGAAAAAGTTGCTCAAACAGAGAACAAAGCTGACGATAGCTCAAAAGCTAGTGAAAAAGTGAGTGGGATGGAAGAGATTGCTCAAACAGAGGACAGTACTGATAGTAAAAAGGAGGGTGAAAAGAAGAGTGAAGCTGATGACGTTGCTCAGATAGAGAACAACACAGGAGGGTGCGGACTGACACAGGATTACGAAGATGATGACATGGCCGAAGATTTTGATGACTTTGATAATGATGATGCGGGGGAGGGACATGAAGAGAAGAAAGAAGCTCCATCTGCTTCAATAAGCGAAGTTTCTGAAAAGAGTAATGTAACGGCATCGATGAAGCCAACAGAAAAATGTTCCAGCGGTACTGAGGGTGGAGCCAAAGCTGACGGTCTGGATAAGCCCAAGGCTGATGGGAAGAAGATTGAGATGGAAAATGTTTCTGCACAAAGTGGCGGGTCAAGTTCGGAAGTTCCGATGTCTCAAGAAAACTCAGTTCAAGATGGAAAAGATGGGAAGCCTGCTGATGGGGGACCTGACAAAGTGTCGTCAGAGGTTGGTTCTTCAGAGCTGAAATCTCAAGAAAAGCCGGAGGCTCAAAAAGATGTAGAGAAGTCTGCTTGTTCATCCTCTGGAAAGAGCCATTCAGATGTTACAGATGTTGATAAGGAAAAGAAGTTGGAGTCTGAGAATGCTGGGACTGTTTCTTCGAAAGTGTCTACGGAGAAAAGTGAAGATAATCAGGAAGGAAAAGAAGTGCCTTCTGGGAAGGGTGAAAAGATGGCAGAGAAAACGCCGGAAACAATTGTGGTCAAGAAATCAGAGGATGCATCCACCTCGGAGGCTGCTGAAGAAGAAAGTTCCAAGCATATCACATCTACTACTGCCTCAGTTGGTGAATCTAAACAAGTCGATGACCTTCCTATTGAGAAACTGAAGAACGTCACTGACACTGCTGTTGATGAACCAGCGTTGAAGACTGATGCAAGCAAGGAGGCTGAATCTGTGTCGTCTGGAGTGGCAGAGGCGAGTGATGAAGGGAGTCAGAAAAAGCTTGAAGTGGGAAAGGATTTTGAAGATTCCTCAGCGGGTCGTCAAGTTCCCGGTTCCACTTCTTCGTCAACCGATGAAAAGACTGATGTCCCTACTATCGAAAAAACTCCTGCTCCTTCTGGGGCCTCTGAGGAGGGAGGTGAAGGAAGTGTTGCAGTAAAGGAAAAAAAGGTTGAGACAAGTGAAGTAAAGGCCGAGAAGGAAGGTGGGAAGACGGAAACAAATGAAGAAAATAGTGAAAAGGAGGAAGGAATTACTGAATCGAGTGGAGGAACAGTGGATAAGAAAGATGAAATATCTGAGACTGCAAAATGCAAAAGTGGAAATGAAGGAGTGGAGAAAAATGAAAAGGAAGAAAGCAAAGCAGAAAGGAACAAAGAAAAACATGAGTCAGAGAAGGAGAAACCTGAAGCCAGTAATGCGAACGCAGAAGCATGTAAAGAAAATATTAAGGGAATTGAAGGAAAGTGTGATGTGAATGAGAAGGAGACTAGAGCATCAGACGGTGGGGATAATGTGCCCAAGAAGTCTAGTGAAGGAGAGAAAGAAGCAGAAGAGAAGGAGAAAGACGTTAGTAAAGAAAAATCTCCTGAAAAAGAAACTGAGAAACTGGGTACTGGGGAAGATGGGTCAATGTCAACAAAGACAGATGAAATGATGGCGGAGTCCAGTAATGTTAAAGGAGCTGAAGATTCCACGAACAAAGAAAAAGAAACACGACCAGAAGATGAGGAGCGGAAGAAGTCTGATACTGGTGACACTGGAAATGATCCAGAAAAAGTGTCTGCAGCAGTAGAAGAAATGGAAAAAAATGTTGCTGTACCTGGTCAGCCGGAGGATGAAGCCTCGAAACAAGCTGGTGGCGAGTCTCAGCGCAAGTTGAAGCGGTCTGCCCCAGATGCGGCCAGCGACGAACCCGTGGAGTCTGAGCCTAACGGCAAACGGGCGCGACCCGCGGCCAAGAACCAGAAAACTCGTGGTGGGAGGAATGCTGCGGCTCGTGGGCGAGCGGCTCGTCTGGCAGAGAGGGAGGTCACGGAGAGTGAGGATAGCGAGGCAGCGGTGACCTCGAGTGGAGCTAGAGGGCGTGGAAAGTTGAGGGGTCGTGGAGGTCGAGGCAGGAGGGGCCGCCGCGGAGGTCGTAGGGGTGGCAGAAACACTGGGCCGGGTAGAGAGGCGGAGGATGATGTTGAGGAGGAGGAGGAGGCAGCGGCGAAAGACGATGCTGGCGAGGAAATGGAGGAGGACTGTGAAGACAAGGGAAAGAAGGACAGCGCCGCTGAGGAGGCAGATGAAAATACATCGGATCAAGCTGGAGGAAAGAGACCTAAGGTAATTCATCTCTCATTTTGCTTTATAAATCTGTGCTCTTCCTTTTTGTTTTGTTGTTTGTTGGGGGGGGGGGGGATGTTTGCAAGGCGCTTTTTTTTGTTTTGTTGTTTGGTGGGGGGGGGGGGGATGTTTGACAAGTGCTCTGTTATTGTCTGCTTTTATTTGTTCTTTTTCAGTGTAATTATTCTGTGCTTTTAATCAACATCTCACAATAAAGTCTGGCCATTTCCGTAATGACTTGTTCAAACTACAACTCGGCACATTATTAGTAAGCCTATGGGGGAACGTTTTGGGTCTATTTTTGCTGTTCATGTACATAATTTTGTTTATGAGATTATAATTAATATCCGTTCTCTGTCAAGTCCACTTACACTGCTCTACTTGTGCGGGAACAATTTCTGTCTCTTTCATTGCAACGCGTGGACTGTGCTTTTGCAAGTGAAGCCTAACAAGGTGTATCCAGTGGTGCTCTGGAGGCAGCTATTGTTTACGAAAGAGTTTTTTTTAGCTCTGCCCCAGGCATGCTTTCTGAAGATGTTGAAGAGCGAACTGTTTCCCTCTGTGGGTAAACTTGAAAACTAAACTATTTTCCAGCTTACAGTAACAGAATTATTTGAAATCCGCACTGTCAAACATTATTTGCAGCTTCTTGACATATTTTCATCTGTAATTATGGGGGGACGCTATTTTTTAAAGCATGCTGAGATTGCCATGCTAGGAAAAAATTGTCACTACTTTGACACTGAAAATCTGTTCCTGCAACTAATATTTCATTATGTTTTTTGAGGGAGTCTACTGTCTTTGGCTTGAATCGCTGTTGTTGTGTGCTGTTACCTGTTTGGGAACGTTTTTTCACTTTGCGTTATTAACGTTAAAATTGAATACAAATAGATGGCGATAGTATTACTTTTTAAGTACTGCAAATCATGGGATGTCATTTACTAGTGATGACTTTTATTGCTATGGTTCAAATGAGCCAAATGCCTGTTTGGAAATAATAGGTTGCACATCACGATGCAAGATCACTTTTCAAGTTTGATTTCCAGTTTCTGTTTGCCTTAATCTCCCTTTTCTTCTGTTTCTGTAAAGAAAAAGAAGCCTGACTCTAGCAGTGAAGCCCTGTCAGAAGATGAGGTCACCCCAGCGAAAAAGGGAAGAAGTCAGCTTCAGCCGGCAAGAAAGGCAGGCTCAGCGAACCGTGGCAAGCGGGGTGGGGGCAGAGGTCGTGGGGGCAAGTCCACACCATCAACACCTGCCACTGCTGCAGGCAACGAGGCAGAAGGGAGTGGGCGGAGGCGCAGTATGAGGGTAAGAGAGATGAAAGCGAAGAGACCCCCTACCCCTCCCTCTCCCCCATCCTCGCATACAGAGGAAGAGTCGGAGGATGATTTGTCAGATGACACGGAGGAGGAAGTGACCTTTCACGTCAAGGACAAAGACTTCTTGGACCCAAACTTCACCCCGGAGGAAGAATCAGGAGATGAGGATTTCAAACCCAAAGGGAGAAATTTTCAGAGACAAGCTCAGCGAACCAGTAAGTTCTAAGTTTTGGACTGCAGATTCAGGCTAAATTTTAAATTCTTTTTGATTGCAATGTTTCCATCTATTTGTACTTTTCCAGTATTACTTATGATCTGAGCAGCAAATTCAGGATAAAAATTTGTTCCTCTAAGTTAAACAAAAGTATTTCCACTGTTATTTTTACCATTGCAAATTATGTTTTTGCCGCAGTAGAATTTTCGTGAACACCCATGTTATGAATTATTGAAAGAGACTTTTACAAATTTCAGTTTAGGGACAAGGAAGCGAACAGTTTTCAGCGTAAGAATTAACAAAATAGAAAAATATTCAGTTGTTTCTGGGCCTAATATGAACATGCTTTGTATTTGATTTTCTTAACTTTACATTCTCGTATTGACAGCTATTTAGAGGAGCAGCTTGACTTAATCAAAGTATCAATTTCATAACACAGCACATACTCACCTATGTTGTTCAGCAGTCCTGCTTTCCCATTCCTCATTCATGAAGGTTCGTTCTCAAGCAGCGCAGCTATAAATTTCACCTTGAATTCCAAACTGGCTCTAACACTTTTGCTTTTGTCTTCTCTCCTCCGCAGTCAAGGGAGAGAATGAGGAAGTTGTCAATGATGACACACCGTGTGTCAAATGTGGGAAGTACAACCACCCAGAAATGGTAATTGTGTGGACGAAAGTTTGTTGATGTTTTATTAGTTGTAAAAAAAAAGTCTTCCTTTATTTATTTAGTAACATATTTATTGTTTATTGGGTTCATTGCCCTTTTGAACTCTGGCCTACTCACTGAATAGGTGTCATGTCTCTGGCAACAGAGATTAGTACACACACACACACATACACACACACACACACACACACACACACACACACACACACACACACACACACGTGAGTGGTTGGCGGGTGCTCTGGTGTGGTTTGCTTCTTCTTTCCTATCAAATATCTGTCGTCCTTATCTCCCCTTCTTCTTTTTTGTGTTTGTTACTCTCTTGTAACACCTCTAATCTTCTGGCGCTCATATGACCATGCAGTTGCGAGCGCCGTAAAACCTCTACTAAAACAAACAAAAACACACACACACACACACACACACTCACACACTCACACTGTCAGAGGGTGAAGTAGCCTCTCTTGCTCCCTCTAGTAGCTCATACCTGGTAGGTGGTGAAAGTCATTGGTAGTTTTAGAAACAAAAAATTGTGAAAGCTCAATGTTGTTTGCTCAGAGCTGTCTTTGTCTTTACAGAACTGTTTCATGTTGTATTAAGAATGTGTATAATTATCAAGTGTTCATGGAGATATGATGGCCTACAAAAATTGTGAAAGGTCAACAGTTGTTGTTTCTTGTTGTTTGTTTGTTGTTGTTGTTGTTTTTTGGGGGGGTTGTTTGTTTTTGTTTGGGTTTTTTTCTATTTAAGAGTTGTACTTATCCCCTCGTGGGTAGTTGGCGGGTGGTCTTGTGTGGTTTGCTTCTTCTTTTCTATCAAACATCTATTGTCCTTATCTCCCCTTCTTCTTTGTGTTTGTTACTCTCTTGTAACACCTCTAATCTTCTGGCGCTCATATGACCTTATGCAGTTGCTAGCGCAGTAGAACCTCTACTAAAAAAAAACAACCCAAAAAACTTTATCCCTTCAGAGCAGTTTTGAGCTGACTAAGGATGTGTGTATATATATATATATATATATATAATGAGAAAGTGTTCCTGGAGATGTGGTGACCTCTTGTTTGTCGTGTCCACAGATCCTGCTGTGTGACAAGTGTGACGCCGGCTACCACACGGCCTGTCTGCGACCCCCACTCATGCTTATCCCGGATGGAGATTGGTTCTGTCCACCCTGTGAACATGTAAGAAAATACAACATTCTCTCTTTAGGTCAGAGATGGGAGTGGGTAGTTGGCGGATGCTCTGGTGTGGTTTGCTCCTTCTTTCCTATAAAAAATCTGTCATCTCTATCTCCGCTCCTTCTTTTTGTGTTTGTTACTCTCTCGTAACACCTCTAATCTTCGGCACTAATATGACCTTATTGTGTTGCAAGTGCAGTAAAACTCCTACTAAAACTAAAAAAGAGATGGGAATTTATTGGTGGTGGGGGGGGGGGGTGCTGTGTCACCCCAAATCCTTGTAATTTCCATGTTGAATGCAATAGTGTAGTCAAGTATACTGCTTTTCTCTCCTAAAATCTTAAATCCGCTGTTTGAAAATTTTGCATTAGCTGGGCATGTTGATGATTTATTTTACTATATTGGTGTTGTTAGTGGGAATTGGATCGGCTTCACTTTCAAACAGATCTGTAATAGAGCTGTACTGTTTCGACAAGGTGGGTGATTGGAGGGTGCCTCTGGTAGGTCGTACTTTTTTTCTTTCCCTCAGTTTCTGTTTGTCTTACTCCGTACATTCTTCTATCCCATGGTTAGGGCAACCGTGGGGGCACCACTGCATCTGACAACCAGCTCTCGCCATCTATTTTTGTCCTCTGCTTTCCTCAAATTGTCACCCATTGTCTTTCCCGTCCACTCTGTAATGTTGTCCTCCCATCTCCTTCTCTGCCTTCCTCTCTGTCTCTTTCCTTGTACGGTTCCTTGCAGGATTGTTTTGGCAAGTCCTTTGGATCTTGTGACATACCCATACCATTTTAATTTCCGTCTCTTTACTGTGGTCAGTAGATCTTTATGCTGTAAATGGTAAAATGACCATTTATGCGTCTGGACATGCTCATTGAAAAACTTTTGGCCCTTTATGTGATATTTCAGCTTCTTCTTTTGAGTTAAATGTCTGCCTATTATGACAATGATCCTGCCATCCTTGTTCTTTTTGCTCCTCCTCTATCGAAAGAATTACACTGTCCATGCTGCTGTAGGACTTTTTTGTAAGGTCAAATTTGTTGAGGGACATGGACATGGTTAGATGTATGCTTCCCGGGAAGCTGAGAATGTTTCGGAGTGTTCTATGGTCTGCTGGGGTAATAATATAGTGTAAAGCACATAGAGCCTGCTGTTGAGTGGGGATATGCGCTGTACAAATGCTATCTATTATTATTATTATTAGATTGTGAATGAGGGAATGCACCACTAAATTGTTAATGGGTTTTTTTCTTAATCTCGCACAGTCGATGCTTGTGTGCAAGCTGCTGGAGTGTCTGCAGACACTAGACACAGCCTCGAAGAAAAAGGACCGGCTCAGTAAACGGTAAGGACAATTTGTAGCACATCTTTCTTTATTTTGACGGTCTGGTTTTTTAAAACTTTTCTTATCTTGTTGAAAGTATGTTGTGGCTAAGGATTAAAATGTCTTGAGGTCAGTGAAGTAAAATTTGTTTTTCGAAATTCTTTTATTTATTTACGAAAGTGTTTTATTACGATAACGAAAGTGTGTTTGCTTTTTCTGTTGCTTAAGATTTTTGCTGATTGTATGAGTGTGATGGTCCACCATGTTCAATGTAGGAGACAACATTTGAAACTTATTCATTTTATGGTTGTTTGAGCCACGCAGATACTTGGTGAACTGAACTGTCTTGTACAAACTGAGATTTCAGGTGTTTGGGAGTTTTTGTCTTTGCCTAAAACTGAAGGGGCATTTTACTTTACAAATAATACAGTATGAATTGCCTCAGTACACAGCATGTTTCCTAAAGAGAAAAAAAAAAGGGTCAAAGTCTGTTGCACAGTGGATAGAAGAACCCATTGTTTACCACCTTTTCGGTTTAGTCAAGAGAACAAAAAAAAAGGATGCATACTTTACGAACATATACCTTATACACTGTCATTTGTCCATCTCCAGACAAGAGCGCCTAGCTTATGTGGGTATCAGCATCAGCAATATCCTTCATGGGGTAAGTCTGTTCTGTCAATTGTTATGGATATAACTGTCTGCTCTTTCAGTGTTTGCTGGGTTTTTTATTACAGTGTTTCTTTACCCTAACAAACACAATATTCTGCAAAGCTTTTAACAGAAACATTTTTTAAAAAAGTTTTGTTGTCGCTACTAGTGACAACAACAAAAAAGATATGTGAAGTTGGAGCAATTTTGTCTTCTAAGGTTTCAAGTAAAAGAAAATCTTTGCGTTTTAAATTAGGAATTTGTCCTATGGGAAGTTGCTGTTCTTCAACAAATGTCTACCCTTTATAGACGACAAATGTTTCAACATGGACTTTTTAGTTGCTGGTTCGTCGACCTGTCATTTTCTTGTTTGTGTGTACTTAAATGTCCCTGTATTACGGTGTGATACTAAATACCTTCCTTGTTTGTATGTGCATGTATGTCCCTATGTTATCGTGTGATACTCAGTGTGCTTGTTTGTCACTATATTACCGAGGAGTACTGACTCTTTTCTCCTCGGCGTATTCAGCAGAACCGTGAGGGCGCTGTGTCCGGCCAATTTGATCAGACGGGCATGGTGGAAAAAGAAGAAATGGAAGGTGTGAAAGAAGAAGCAGAAGGAGAGGAAAAGCAGGAAGGAGAAAATGAAGAAGACGAGGCAGGGGAAGAGTCTGGCGGGGGCAGCACCTCTTATTACGAATCGGAGGGAGAGGAATTACAGCGCACCTACCGCTCGGAGAGACTCTCCCAGAGGCAGGCTCAGAAGCGGTCGCGCATGGAGAAGAAGCGCCGGCGCCGGCCTGCCAGAAACCGAAGTCCCGAGGTGGAGGTGTTTGCCAAGCGCACCTGTCGCACACGCAGCACTGTCAGCTACCAGTTCAAGGAATTTGACGAGCTCATCAGTAACGCCATTGAGGATGACAAGCCCTGTCGCAAGGAGAAACCTCCAGGTAATATTGATGTCATGAACGGGACTCTTTGTCTATTGTAGACCCCTGCATGTTCCAAACTACTCACATGATACCTTAGAAATCATTGGTGGACACTCACAGAGTCACAGAGCTCCTAATCAAAATACAGTCGTATCTGTCCTAGACGACCACCTATTGTCAAGGAATAAAATGGTCATGTTAGAGAGTGTCATTTTGTTATTTTAAAAACTCAATGGGGAGGGCAGGAAGTGGTGATAAACACTACTGTAGGTTCGTTATGTTTTTCTTTCCAGCTATAGCAGGTTAGGCTTTTTTATTTTGTTTAATTTTTATTTTTTTTAAAGTCTTATTTGCTGACTGCAAGAACCTTGAACAAGAAGTGTCGATAGTGGAAATACTCTGTCTAAATTGTCCTCGTGAAACCTAGTCCTTTTTGCTTTTAAAACACCCAACAGCAAGAGAATTGGTTGGGAAAGGAAGAGGTCAGTATGGAAATACTTTACTTGAATTGTGCTCACGAAATGGTAAGCTCAACAAACCTGTCAATCGTTGAGTTCAAGCAGTGTTTATTGGTGGTGCTGTTTTTGTAGATGCTGGCAAATGATTTGAGAGAGGTTCAGTCCATTACAGAGGATGGTTAATGTCCGTGCCTTCTGGGAAACACAAAAATAAAAATGATTGGGGAAATATCATTGAGTCTCCCGCTCTCTTTTGTAACTTTATGCACAAACCTGCTGACCTATATACTATAAGAGTAAGTGATGTTACTATGAATTGTTTAGTCCCTGCTTGACTGGCTATGTGTGAGTAAAATGAGGAAAGGGTTCTTATGTGCATGGTGATAGTGTTGTTTTATCGTTCACCTATTCTTTCTTTTCTCTCCTGGAGCAGATGTACAGGGTAGGCGAGTTCTGTTAGCTCAGTTGTATCATTCTGGACGAAGGACCAATGGCTCTGGTTGGATCTGCGTGTGGGATTTCTTGAATTTGGGTTGTTTTATGGCTTTTACCTGTTTGGATGATAAATCAGTACAGTAATGACAATGTAAGGTAGTGATGAAATTCCAGTTGATGGGGAAAAGATTACTGTCACTCAATACTATTACCATTGCTCATCGGTGTGTGTCTGGAGACACTTTAACTCACTCACGGGAGTAATTACGGCCATTTAGTGGTTTAGGAGAGACAACTGCGTCAATGTTCAAGGGGGAAAAGAAAACAGTGGTTATTTCCCAGCAATTGAGTCTGAGAGAATTCATTTGGACGAAAAATAAACAAAATACAGTTGTAAATGTAATATGACCTCCTTCAGTTCCAAAAAAAGATTACGTTGTACGATTTGTTAACGCTTGTATAAACGAACAGAAAAAAGACAACACAAATCTGTTTACATTTTCATACAGCTTATTATCTTATCTTACAACTCTGAAAATTTCATCCGTGTAGCTTTCATACAATAGACACCATGAATTTTTTTAAATACCCTAAAATTGGCAGGCTGGGTGGGCAGACTACGAGAAAAACGGGCAGGAATGAGTGAGTTAGAATGTTAACAGCCAAATCAGAAGTGAACACATGAGCAGCACTTTACAAAGCTTCAGTCAAACACATCATTACCCATCTCTACATTCTCTGATAGGAGTAAAATCATCAGCGTTAACAGGAAGCGAGAATATGAGACTAGAGGTGTCTTCAGCTGTTTTCTATACGCTGGCTGCTGAGTTTGTCCCTCTTCAGCTAAAAACTTAACTAGCCGAACAGACCAAAAAGAACATGTCGGCTGAACAGAACCATCTTGTTTCCTGTGTTTTGATTAGCCTGTGCATGGTGTAGATGCTGGACTGCATGCGGTAAATCTGGGCTACGGGCTGCCTGATGTAATGGCTGTGCATGCTTCGGGGGAACGGAGAGGGCTTGTTTGACTACTTTTGTCTTTCTCTTCACCATGTGACGCTGGGTTCCTTTCAAGAAGGATTTCCCTTTGCAGGAATCAGTCGTGGTAAAGACATGTCCAACATTCTGGGAGCCTCTGACGAGGAAGACGAGAAGATCCGGCTGAGAGACGGGGACTCGGGACCTCCGCCCGTGGTGAGGAAGAAGACCAAGAGGAAGCTGACCAAGCTGGACAGTGACGAGGAGCAGGAAGAGGAGGAGGAGGATGAGAGCGAGGAGTTCAAGCTATCTGAGTGAGTCACGCCTGCTGGGTGCTGGGGATTAACAGTGTGTTGGGATTTTACCAGTTTGATTTCTATTGGTTTTGTGTGTGTGTGTGTGTCTCTGTGTGCGTCATCATTCATTCACCTCTTTCACTTTAGTATTGGGTACAGGCTGCAAAGAAGGGCTCTCATCCTGTGTCTGTTCTGGACAATCTTCTCCACCTCCACCAGCAAGTTGTGCCCCATATGCACGAGATTTGTCTCTTGGTTTCGCTCTAAGGTGGATCTCGGCTTTCCTCTCTTTCTCCTTCCTAGGGGGAGGGGGGTGTGTTCTATCATAGGCTTTGTCTTGTCTCGTTGTGGGCTGTATTCCTGAGTGTGTGTCCAATCTATCGCCATCTTTTTTAGATCTCACGGTCTGTTGGTTCGGTTGATTGGTCAGTCAGTTGTTGTTTGGCTCCGAGGTGTGTATCATAACATATTTTTATTTTTTTTGTTCGTTGTTCTTTGTTTTATGCAGCTGTGTGTTGCCAGGTAAATGAAAGGTGTCACATTTAGGTCATACTTCTTTCCTATCTCTCTGTTGTTTCTTCTATGTTATATTTTTGTTTGTTTTTTCTGTGCACATCATCCCCAATATTGTGTCAATATGCCACTTTGTACTCAAACTAAAACTTGAAGATATGTTTTTTAATGATCATATATAAAAGTCAACATGACTGTTTTAGGAACTTACAAAACAAAGAACTGATGGCCTCTCCATCTGTAACATTTAGTTTCTCTCTTCTTGCTTTTACTATCTCACCCAAATCATGTTTCCCACAATGTTAGATGTGGGTGGTTGGCGGGTGCTCTGGTGTGGTCTGCTTCTTCTTTCCTATCAAACATCGACCTTATCTCCCCTTCTTCTTTTTTTTATGTTTGTTACTCTCTTGTACCACCTCTAATCTTCTGGCGCTCATATGACCTTATGCAGTTGCGAGCCCTGCAAAACACTTACTAAAACTAAAACAATGTTACACGTTCTCATGTTCATTGATTTTTCTCTCACTCAATCTGACTCATATATACGTTCTTTTTTTCCTTCTCAATATCTCTTTGAATTCTTTCTTTTGGTCTGTCTTGCCCACTGTTCCTCTCTTTTCTGTTTTTTTATAAACAGCTTTCCTATACCTGCATATACCCAGTACTCTGACCTGCTGAGCTATCTGATAAAATCAGAACTCTCTGGATTGTTTTGTGCCTGTCATAGAATCTTGATTGGAATTGCTTAAAATCCTTGTTTTGTTTTTTCTTTGTTTTTTTTTCTTAAATTCAGTTTGTGAGGTCATATATGTGACTTAAAATGCACTTTATTTGCGTGGGTTTTTTTGTGCTTTTTTTTTCACTAGTTTTGATGCTTGTAAAAACATGAAAATTGCGTTATTATTATTTTCCATACCCATTTATTTGCCATGGTTGGTTCGTTGTGTAATAGTAATTTTCTGGGATTCTGGAGACTTTTTTTGTCCAAACTCCTAATTTTTGGGAGGATTTTGATAAATACTTTATTTTTTTGGTCATGGTGTAGGTTGGCAGCAGCTACTAACCCCTATGATTATGTGAACTGTGTTGATGAAGGAATATTTATCTCGATTCACAGAGAAGAGGACTCGGAAGCCACGGAGATTGAAGGTGAAGAGGAGGACGAGGGGGACGAAGAAGAGATCAACTCGGATTCTGGAGACTGGAAACCGAAGAAAACCTGGTTCAACAGCCGCGCCTCCTCCCGCAAGTCGAGCAAGAGGATGCGAGATTTTGGTACGGTCATGGTTTAAGTCTTTGTTGATGATTTTTAAGAGCCAAGCACTAATTTTAAAAAAGTGTTCATACCTAGACAAGTTTTGAATTGTTTTGAGTTAATTTTCATGGAAGAGCTTGGAGTCCGATGTTCAGATTCCTTGTTTTTAGAAGAAGAGCTTGGAGACATTGTTCAGATTCCTTTTTTTCTTTTTTTAAAGAAAAATTGAAGTTGTATGGCAAGGTATACTTGTCCTCATACCCATGCTAGGGGACTCTCATGTCCTAGAGGTTAACTCTTTGGCTACCAAGGCGTTTTCTGTGCTGTGACCAAGGCATTTCTTAGTCTTAGAATTTCAGAAGTACCCCTGTTCTTCTTTTGTGTCTGATGGGCATAATTCCATCTGGAAGTCGGACATGTTATGTACCAAAATGAAGGTAATTGAATGTAGAATATTTTTAATCTAATAAAAAAAATTGAAAAAAATCATAAATCCAAACAAACATGGGAGGTAAGTGAACACAAGGTGAAAAAAATAAAAAAATAAAAAAAATATTTCCAACTTACATTTCTCACAGTGTATAGCTGCTAAATCCAATCACTTCATGACTTAGTCATACTGAAGTATATCCAATTGTCTCTAACTGGGCCAAGTTTCATGCACAATGGTCAAGTATATACAAAGTTGTCGCACTTTTAGTGAAATCACTCACAATGAAAAAAAGAGAAAAAAACGCTACACACACGCCCCTCTTTGCGAATCTTCAATCTCATCGCTGTCGCTGCTGTCCGACTCAGGTCTAACTTCAACCCCTCCTACATCACTATTGGAAAGTACTGACAGTTCCCGATCAAACTTTTCCAGGGCTTTTGAAGCAGAAAAACGTTGTGACGAGGGGGGGGGAACCTGATGGGTTATCAGCCATTTTTCCGTTGCTATGCATGTTAACTAATTCGAGCAACATAGGGCGGGTCAAAAAAACATGAAAAAATGCCCAAAAAAACAGCAGAATAAAACACAAAAGGCGCTAAATTCCTTCACTGGTTGACTGATGTATGGTAAGCACAGCAGTTAAAAACATGAAACGGAAAGGTTGAGTCAAATTGTGGAAGGGAAAGGAAAGAAAAGCGCGAAAAGGAAGTTATGGAGCCGATAGATCGGCCCATGGTAGTCAAAGAGTTACGGCGTTGGCCTCTTATTCAAAGGTTCCGGGTTCGAATCCGGGTAGCGACAGAAAAATTTTCTTCTCTAAAATTATCTCCTTTCACCTCTTCACATTCCTTCCCTACTCTCTTGTAATATTCTGTCACATGCTTTCATCTCCACTTTCTGCCCCACCCCCTCACCTCCTTTGCCCCCTCTTCCGGGCTCCTGACTCTTTCTGCAGCCTTTCTACTGCTACTCCTTGGCTACTTCTTACTGCTGTCTTTCAGCTACACCCCTGATCTTCTGGTAGGAAAGATCTATACTTTGCCTTCTCGGACAAGGGCGAAAAATCTCGGAGGGCCCGTGTGCAAGTTGCGCACGTTAAATATCCCTTGGTGGTCTAAAATCGATAAGAGTAGGCTTCGGCCGCCACCTGGGCAAAATTAAAAATTTCCTACCATCTGAAAATATTAGGTGTGTCCCGCATTCTCATATGACCGTATGCAGTTGCGAGGGCCGTAAAATCTTTCCCAAAAAAAATTTTAAATACACGTCCTAGAGCTCAGGCAGTAACTGATTGAAGGATCATTATCTCACAGTGCACCTGATTGTGACGTTTTTATCAACATAGAGTGTCATCCCCTGCTTGATAGACAGTCATATAATATTGTTTCGAAAGATACCCTTAATATATAATATGTGAGCATGCCTGGTGAAAGGTACCAAAAGACGCATTTGTTCGAACCAAGATATCAGGCTTCAAGGTCAAAAATAGAATTTTGACAAAAACTAGGTTCCATTAAAAATGGATTCTTAATATATCGATATTTACAAGGACTTGAGTTTCTTTTACTTTAAAATACATTTTTAAAGGTGTTTTATTTATGACACGGTATATTGCATAATCCCAAATAATGTGTGAGAAAATTGGTTTTTCGAGTACACACTGCGGATGGTTTCTCTTGCCCATTCATAAAGTCGACCCAATCACATTGCATACCAAAATTTAGGTAATTCCCTCCCCTCTCTGATGGCGAGTAGTGCCCATTAATATCTAGAACGTTTCTTTGGAGAACAAATTTTATCGCTTATTTCTTCCCTACACAAACCTAGATCTAATTTCTTGAAAATTCTTGCTCAAGGTGGTGGCGAATTTATTTTGAAGATGTAATATGAACATTTTGAAGCTGTTCTTTTATCTTAACTGCTTTTTAAAGGTGGTTTGTGTGTAGCAAATGTGTTGTCAGGTCATCTCGAAGCGTAGATCTATCTATTTGAAGCAGAAACGAAGGGGAAACTTTAAAGCCGATTTTCTCAAAACTTTGTTTCCGTACCCTGCCTTACAAAATCACCCATATCTCAAAAACTACTGAAGATATCTTTAAAATTCAAAAAGCATATTGTGCAGAAATGATCCTTTTACATGAAAATGAAAAAAACGGGGTTCTTCAAAATGCGTCATTTGGTACCTTTCACCAGGCACATACACACACATATGTGATTTTTCCCCGTTGCAGCCCGAAAGGCCTTTGCTTTTTGCTTTTAGAACTGCCAAGAGTTCTTCATCATGCAGAACTTTCACTCAGGAATAGAAAGGTGTAAATAGGAAACGCTTTAGCTTAAAGACATTGGGAATTAAAATTGTGGCAAAACTGTACAGACTGGTTTATACACAAACTTGATGGAATGCCATTTAAATGCCTCAGTTTTTGGCATTACGGCCAAAATGAGCGTTGTCAATTTTGGTTTTCGGTCAATAAATGATTAGATCCGCAAGATTGTCCATTTATTCATTTGATAGGGCTGGAGTACTCCTGAGAAAAGGAAATAAATTTAGCTTTAAATGTGCTTTGTATATTTGACTTTTGCATCGTCATCATCATTGCTTTTTTCACCCTGGATCAAGGTGCGGGCCAAGAACAAACTTTTTCCACCTTTACTTATCTTCCGCTTATTATAATATCGCTTATTATAATAATTATAATATCGCTTGTTATAATATTCTGTCTTCCAACTCTTCTTTACACCATTCTCTGTGACTCTTCCCCTTGTTCCACATGGCCTTTCCCTTGATCTTTTACCCTGTGGATTCCAATACAATACTTTCTTGTTATGCTGCTGCCTGACTTTCAAATCTCCCACTGGGGCAGTGCCACTGACTGTAGTGTCTTTAGGCCATTCCCAAAGGGGGGACATTTCTCGTTCAAGCACAGTAAAATTGTAAATGGGCTGATTCATGTCACGACAAACTGTGCCTGATCTACAACAGGGAACTGCTGCTTTTTCTTTCCTATTCCTTACTATTGTAATTTCCTCTACTTCTTTTGTATGTTTGTCACTCTCTTGTGACCTGCTATTTCCGGGGTGCCTTGATAGTTGAAGCAGACTTTGTGCTGTTGAAGCTAGAGAGGTGAGCAGAGTAAGCCTGATTCCCTGTAAAGACTTCTCTGTTGACGTTCACCCCTTGGCGCTCATATGACCTAATGTAGTTGCGAGCGCCGTAAAACCCTCTACTATAATTTTTAAAAATGACTTTCAAAAAAAGTATGTCCAATCCATTGCCACTGTCTGCTTTCCACTTCTCTAGCTGGATTTTTGTCTTGTTCTCTTTAACATTCCATGTCTCAGACCTGCCACTCATCCCGATTTAATCGGGATGTCCTGATTTTTTTCCCCAAATCTCAAGCATCCCGATTTCGATTGGCAGTATCCTGATTTTTTGTCGTTGCGTCCGATTCTTAGAAAAAATAAGAAAAGTTGTGCATTCTCCTTTGCTTGTCAAACGTTGTTACTGTATGAAAACACGGGCTTTTTGCGTGGATGATTACAGTTATGTGTCAGCTATTTTCAAGACTACGAGAGTTTCAGCTTTACTGCAACCTGCGCTCCCCCCACTCTATCCCACTCCGACTCGAGTAATGCTGTCTTTCAGTTTTCCCTCTATTTAGAGGCCCAAACGTGAACTTATTCCGACAAAAGTTCTCTCTTGCATACTTGCCTCATAAAAGGGAACTAGGATCCCCCTTCCCCACTACCCCTTAGGACTGATTTGCCGTTGATCCCGATTTTTTTCACCAGATCCTGATTTTTTTACTCTAACATCCTGATTTTTAGATTTCATAGAGTGACAGGTCTGATGTCTTTTTAAAAAAATTTTATTGTTTCTTTCAGTTGTGGAAGACGAAGACTATGATAGTGATGAAAACGCCACCAAGCGACGTTCGACCCGAAATTCCACCCGTGGCCGAATTCGCTACAACGATTGGGAATCGGAGGAGACGGAACAAGAGACGGACGAGGAAGAGGCCAGCTTCTCTGATTTCAGCTCAGATGACTCGAAATTTGCCCGCAAGATGCACAAAGAGAAGGAGAAACACAAGAAAGCAAAGCAGGCTGCTGCAAAGAAGAAAAAGAAGAAAGTGGTCAGAAGAGGAAAGCATTTCTCCTCTGAGGACGAAGAAGAGGAAGAGGAGGAAGAAGAAGAGAGTGGGGAAAGCCAGTCTGATAGCTCTTTGGTCAGGAGGAGGAAATTGTTGCAGAAATTGGTGAAAAAGAGGAGAAAGGATGCGACAGACAGCGATGAAAACGAAGAGAAGGTGTCTGAGAAAAAGTCTAAAGCCAGTCAGAAGGTAAAAAAGAAGAGGAGTGGCAAGTATTTGTCAGATGAGAGCGAGGAAGAGAGTGACAACTCAGATGACGAGCCTCGTTTCAAGAAGAAAAATGTGTTGAGGTCATCAGATGAAGAGGAAGAAGAAGGTGATGAAGAAAAAGATGGAGCAGAGGAAGCTACAGGGAAAAAGAAATCTCCAAGCAAGAAAGCAGCTGCTGTTGTTGCTCCAATAGCAAGAGGAGCTAAGTCAGCACCAAAGGGCAAAAAGAGAGGGGAGAAGCTCATACCAGAAGATGCTGGAAACTCGGAAACAGTTGCTAACCAGGCAGACGAAGTTGTGCCCGGAAAGATCCGTCGATTGAGTGGGTCGGACCGCGAAGGCCCCGATGAACCCAATGCAAAAGCTGGATCTGCCGAAACCTCTCCTGCGAAGGGCGGGAAGAAGAAAGGTGCAGGGGGGCGTCAGACTCGCAAACAAAGTGCCGAATCTCAGGCAGCTGTAGAGGAGAAGCAGGCGGGAAAAGCAGCAGCTCAAAGGAGAGCGTCTTCAGAGAAGTCTCCCCGCGCTGGGAAGAAAAAGAAAGTCCCGAATTTCCTGGACGTCCCCTCTGGAGATGAGTCAGAGGAGGATGGAGCTGCTCCTGCCGGGGACGCCCTGGTGGCTGGTCAAGCATCCACTGCTTCTCAGAGGTTAGATCCTCACTCACAAGTTCCAGTTTCTCAACCCCTACATCCCCAAGCGGTAGTGAATCAGCCACCCAACTCAATGGCCCAGCCGCCATATCCCGGTCAGATGCACGGTGGATACCCCCCTGGCTTCCAGGGCCCACAGCCAGGACCCGGTGGTCAGTACGGGGGCTACCCTTACCCCGGTCAGATGGTTGGGCCTCCTTTCCCTGGTCAGCGCCACATGGGGCCCGGGATGGGCTCACCCACTCAAGCATCATCACAAACTACCACCAGTCAGGGCAGGTCGGAGATGGGCTCACCTCCCCACACCATGTCTCAGGCCCCGGGAGCCCACTCAGGTCACCAGGGGTTAGAGAGCTCTTCCATGAGAGCCGCGTACCCTGGTTACGGCGGTGGTCTGCATCCCGGCATGGCTCACGATCCGCGGGCTTTGGAACCCGGACAGATACCGCCTGGAGGTCATAGACCACCACCAGTCTCCCTGCCTCACGGCTATCTCGGAATGGGCGGCCGGATGCCTGGTAACCAGAGTTCTCCACAGCAGATGCCAGACCCCCGTCATATGGTACCTGGCATGCAGCAAGACCCACGTCGTATGGCTCCCAGAATGCCGGATCCTCGGCAGATGGCACCAGGCGGAGTGCAAGACCCACACGCTCACATGCCACCTGGTAGAATGCAAGACCCTCGACACATGGGACCAAGATCTCAAGATCCGCACCACGGAATGGGCTCTGGAATGACAGATCCCCGTCAAATGCCCCCTGGCGGCGTAACGGATCCTCGTCAAATGCCCCCTGGCGGCGTACCAGACCCTCGTCAAATGCCCCCTGGCGGCGTAACAGACCCTCGTCAAATGCCCCCTGGCGGCGTAACAGACCCTCGTCAAATGCCCCCTGGCGGTGTAACAGATCCCCGTCAAATGCCCCCTGGCGGTGTAACAGATCCCCGTCAAATGCCGCCTGGTATGATGCACCCGGGCATGATGCGACCGCCATACGGACCTCATCATCCAGTGACATCTTCCGTCCGACAGAGCGGGCCGTGGGAACCCTCCCCAGCACACTACTCTCAGAGCTACAACAGCGCAGCCAGGATGGTCAACCCTCAAGAAATGGGGCCTGGTGGCATGCGACACCCGTACCCAGGCATGCGGTCCCCTCCCCCATCTCACGGTCAGTACATGGGCCAGTACCCGGGTATGGGCCCCATTCCCCCACCGACGTCCAGCACAAACTCACCCCTCTCCAGCATGGGACAGATGGCGCGGAATCTTGGAGAGAACGCCGGGATGCAGTCGCCGCCTCACGGAGAGCGAAGACCCAGCATGGGCTCCCCCTCGCAGCATCGGGAAGCAGGGAAAGAAAGTGGAGGGCAGGCCGATGGGGAAGGAGGAGAGAAAGATGCCGGAGCTGGTGCCATGTCTCTCGTCAAGGCCGAAGCAGGAGAGGTGGTTAGTCCCGAAAAGGGTGAGCAGCGCAAAGAAGGACGAAAACGAGGGCCGACCAAAGGCAAAGACAAAGGGAAGGCTCAGGGGATGCCAGGGAGTCAGCCTGCAGCCAGCCAAAGTCAGGGTGGGGATGGTCCGAACCAGACCGGGGGAATTCCTCCGCAGCAAAGTCATCCTCATGGCCAGAGGCCTCCCATGCCAGCTCCTCAGGGCCCTGGCATGGGTGTGTCACCGTACAGAGGTCAAGGCGGGGGGATGCACCCGCTGGAGCCTGGCCAGCAAAACCCAAGTGCACCTCAAGGTCAGATGCCCCCCAACATGCCCCCGTACCCAGGCATGTACAGGTATCCCAACCCTCGTGTCCCCATGCCTCCCGGCATGAACCCTTACCACATGCCACCGTATATGGGTGGTCCACCTCCCAACATGGCCGCTGCCGGCTCCCAAGGCCATCCCCAAGGTCATTACGGACCCCCTCATCCCCATAGTGGTGTTGGTGGTCACCCGGCTCACAGCCCAATGCGACCCATGGCCCCAGGACATCCTATGGGTCACCCATCTGCTGCCCACCACGGAGGTGGTGCTGCCCCTGGGGGTTCAAACATCCCTCCTCCGACATCCTTGCCCAGCACACAATCGGGACATCCAGATGCATCTCAACACGGCCGGACGGAGCCCCCTGCCGCTCACTCCATCCCACAGCCAGCTGCCAGCATGCCACCACACCAAAAATCCCAACCTCCGACGTCCGCCCCTGCTAGCGTCCACTCGATGGCCCCAAGCTCCCACCCGTCTCAGCCACCTGCTGCAGGTCCAAGCGACAGTCCGAACAAGCAGGGACCAGAGAGTGCCGCTGAGGCAGAGACAAAGGAGGCGGCGCCGGAGAAGTCTGCGTTGTCAAAGGTCAAGGTTGAGTCACAGGAGCCAGCGGAACCGAGTACAGATACAAGCAAAGGCGCCAGTGAGGAGCAGAAGCCACAAGAAGCAGCTAAGACTGTAAAAGAGGAGACTCCCTCTTCTGCCATGCCCCAGGCATCAAAAGAGTCCGCCGTTTCTCCAGATCAGGCGGGTCCTGCCTCTTCTCAGCAACTCCAGCCAAGTCCGAGTGTGGATCCTGGTAAACATGGGTACAACGTGCCATATGGTCAGCAAGGACAGGGCATGCCTCCCGCCCCACTGCATTCTCAGCAGGCTAACATGCCACCAGCTCAGCAAAGTAACGTGCCATCTTCCCAACCAGCTAACATGCCGCCTTCTCAACCAGCAAGTGTCCCCTCTTCTCAGCATGGGACCATGATGTCCTCCTCCCAGCCAGCCAGTAGTCATCAAGGGCCCACCATGCCAGCCAGTCAGCACATATCTAACGTCGCTCCTGGCCACCCGCAGCAGAGGCCAGGAATGCCCCCAGGCCAGTATCCCCCGAATATGCCTCCCAACAGCCACAGCTCAAATATGCCGTATTACCACCACCCTTATTTCTCGCCGTATGGACCAAACACAGGGCAGCCAATACCCGCTCACGGTGGGTGGGGTTCGAACATGCCACCCCATGGAGCCAACTATGGGCCAAACATGTACATGAACCAAAGACCTCAGATGTATCCTCCCCACCACCCGGCCATGTCTCAACAAGAAGTTCCGCAGTCGCAACAACCGGGCCAGCACAGAGCTAACACACCGGAGGCCGCTCGAAGAAGTTCGGTAGACTCGAGATCGTCTCAAGACGAGCAGCCCACGCGGCCTGTGGAGGCAGGTGAAGCCAAGTTGAATCAGGCCCGCAGAGATTCGGAGGGTGGTCACAGTTCAGCAGGAGAGTCCTCATCGGGTGGCGTCTCTGGACCTCCACCCACAGCTGCCGGCCCTCCTTCCTCGACATCTTCCAACCCGCCATCGTCGTCCACACCGACGTCATCTCAATCTGACCATCGCCCTCCTCCGCCTCCTTTGCGGCCCACTGACCAGCAGCATCCACCCATGTCTAGTCCGGACCACACACCTTCCGGTGGTCAAGATGCCACTCCGCCGGCGTCTGTTTCCAGTGGAGGAAGAAGTTCCAGTTTGGATTCCGCCGCTGTCCAATCTCAACCACATGGTGCCATGTCTCACAGCTCAGTGCGGCCCCCTCCGAATGCATGGCCCAGTCACCACGGCATGCATTACCCTCCAGGCCCTTGGCCGGGAATGGGCGGGCCGTCTGGCCAGTACTCGAGCATGATGCAACCCTACGGCGGCGGTCACCCAGGTATGATGAGGCCACCGGGACACTACATGCCTCCAGGAGGACACCCGCATGGAGACATCCCAGGAGGCCCATCTCAGAGGCCTCCCCCGGGACCGAATCCCGGTGGGTCACCGAACATGGCCGGTCAGAGAAATCCTGCCATAGGTCCCGACGGAAGACCTCCGTACATGCCACCGGGCCAGTACCCGGGCTGTGAACCAGGGACAAGGCCACCGCCTCACGGCATGGAACCGCAGTACCCACGGCCCCCGGGCTTCAACCAAGGCCCGCCTGCTCCTCATACGTTCCAGTCAGAGCACCCAGCCATGGCCGGCTCTGCACCTCCAAACCCGGCTGACGGTGAACAGCCTGGAGCTCTGTCCTCTGCCAGCGTTGATCAAAGTGCAGAGAGCAACTCGGCCTCCAAACCAAAGAAGGCAAAAACGCAGAAAAAGGTGGCCAAAGATGGGCCGCCCGTGAGAGGCAAGAGCGCTAAAAGTCGGGGCCGGGGTCGTGGAGGATTTATGATCGACAATCTACTCCAGTCTCGGGGTGCGGGAGGGGAGGAAGAAGGAGAGGACAACGCTGAAATGAAGGACATTGTGAGCTATGTGGCCACTGATGACTATTTCAAGCAACAGACAAGTTCCTAGTGGAAATTTGTGGGCCATGTCCATCAGTTAGTGTTTGTTCAGCAATTTGTTTGGTTTTTTTCTGGCACTGAACAGAATAGGATATTTCTTGAGAGCCAAAAGACATGTTGTACAGGATAATAAATCTGTATTTCACAGATTGATTTCTACGATGTCTTATTATATATTGTGAGCCATTCTCAGAAGGGAAGCTCGACTGGTGTTCCTCCTGTCCTCTATGTACAGCCAATGCTTACATGATTTGTTGGAAATGAAACTGACCAAAGTCGACAATTTAATGAAATACAGTAATACGTCAATGAATTTGGAAAGGTTCCTGTGTATACTGTTAATTTTTGTTGCATTATAAAGTGTGGATGTTGGGGGGTGGGGGTGGGGGGGTGTCTTTTCCCAAGACTGCTTCAAGTACCAAACTCGTGTGGAAAAGGTTTATGGTACCAGCTCATGCTAAAGGACTTTCCAGCTGTATTGTCAATATTGTACACTTCCATTAAATAGAGTGGGACAAGATTTGAATACGTATACATCTCCTTGAAAGTCGTCATGCACCACCCTTTTTATTAGGTGTTTAGAACTTCCCCCCTCAGTGTTTTTCAAGTAGGCTAACTACATACATTTATATGTGTATTTCAGAGTGAACATTTTTCTTCAGCAGTGTGTTTTGGTTGAGAAGGCGCTTTTAGCCTGCTACCCATTATGTCATACCATAACAAGCATGTCGCTCCCAATAGTGGTGTTGGAAAAAGTTTTATCAGCTTTCTTGTGCAAGCATTGCTTCTATTTTCGAAAATGAGATTTTTAAAAAAGATACCTAGTATTTATTGCATTCAAGCTAGAAAGGCATAAAAGTGGCCGGAAAATTTGAATCATTGTAACATTTTTATTAAGCTAACCTTTTGAGAATGGCTCACGCTAGTTTCCTGTTGTGACCACACCATTATTTTGTCTGTCTGTACAAGACAGTTGTAGAAATGGCATTTCAGGAGATTGTTGTGCCGAGTGAAATGCTAGAGGAAATGTCCAATGTTTGCTGTGTTCTGAGATAGTGCTGTGTGAGGGAATACAATCATCATCTCAGCTGTGTATATATTCCATTCTCCCATTTGACAAAAGAGAGTGGACTTTCTTTCTTCATCGTCAGTTCATTGAGTACAGTGATGGTCGTTTTTGGGGATGTTCATAGCCTGACATGTAAATATGGAATGTGTGCTTCTGAGAGAACTTTTATCAGTTGTCTCTCGTAGACTAAACTGTAAGGACCACCGTATATTATGGTAACCTTTCTCTGGTTTAGGACTAACCGATATCTCTGGTTTTGATCATTTGTATTTGATTGTTAACATGTTCAGACCTTGGAGTGGCCATATCTACGCACTTTATTACGAACCATTCTTTTGGAGGTTTTTGTTCTGAATTGCAAAGCTTTTTAAAAATTTTAAACATTATTATGTGAAGGGCTTTGTAAGCTGATGTTTTTGAGAATATTTTTCCCCTGCATACTTAACTCTTTGCGTCCTGTTGGCAACTAATGTTGTCTATGCGTGCATTACTTGGAATTTAAATCAGGAAGCAAAGTGTTTAAAGAGCAATCTGCTTTAAGGCATGCCAGAACAGTAAAAGCCCGTAGCTTTTTGAGGTGGTGTTTTTACGGAGAATGGCGATATTCATTCTTAGGCTTTGCCGACAGTTCCAGTGAGTTTTTCTCGTACCATAGTCAGGCTGTGGTTGTGCATCAAGCAAGACATGATTATTTTTTTGTCATTTAATGTTTCCACTGGTGTTCTTTGTCTGAACTCCCTGTTTATGAAAAGATCTGCCAGACTTGTGTATAGGTTTTTTAGTACCTGGAAAGTTATAGGGGAGGCATTTCTCCATTGCCCTTTCGGTTTACTTTCATACGTTTTTCTGACGTGTTCGTGGTTTTTTAATGTTATGTGATGACGTTCCTTGGGCTCCCCTCACAACCGTAATGTAACGTGTATGTTTCCTTTGACGGTATCGCTCTCTTGTGACGTTTTGTATAGAACTTGAGATTTTGTTCATGGGATACATAATGGAAGTGGAGAGGAGCGTCCATTAACTTCAGAGGGAAGCACTTCACAGTACAGTAACCTCTTGTGTCTGAGCTCTGGACTGGACGCGCTTCAACGAGTGAACCTCATTGCAAGGACAATGAAATTTTGTTGTTGTTGTTGTTGTCATACGTTCATGCTCATGTTAAACGCTTACGTACTAAATGTACATATGTATAAAGCCGTCCGAGAACATACGACACAGGTAGAATTAGATATTTTATTACTCTCTCAACCATTGTGAAAGAAATGACGTCTATGGTGTGCTAGGTGAGCTGGGTTTTTGTGGGGGTTTATTGTCCTCATGGCCTGTCATTGAATGTAAACATTTTGAACAAACCATATTATATAAGTTTCTTTACATTTTAGATGTGGAAAAAAAATGTATTATGAATATATATATATATATATTCTTATTGTAACTTGTATTACTTTTATTTGCAAGCTCCAATCGCCGTTTTGTTTGTGTTTTGTTTATTTTATCATATATTTTTTTTCATTATTATTGTTCATGTGTCATGGGAACAATGAATTAGCCTGTCGTTACGCATTTGATTTGTAAAATGTTTCTCCTGTACATTTTTGGGCACACCCTTCTCTCAGTTATGTTGGGACAGCTTCTACTGGAAGTCAAAGAAAAGCATTTTTAGATGCAGACAATGAAGAATTTTTGCTTTATATTTTCCGAATGTATTATTTAGCAGCTTTATCCCCTTCATCCAGTCACTTTATTATGCTTGGTAACTTGGTTTATTTTTTTTATTTATCTGAGCAGATAAAAAAGAATAGTATTGTTTCTTTGTGTCAATGCTCACAGCCACATAGAAACCATTTTTGTTTTCATTTACACCCCCCACCCAACCAAATTTCCGTCAATTTACGGCCCATAGTCCTTTAGTTTTGTCTCAGGATGGCTTGGGCATTTTTGTTCGAGACACCGTTTAATCAGGAGGCTCTAGTGTACAAAGTGCAATCAACTTTCTCTTTTTTTTTTTTTCCCCTCCCCTAGCTAAGTTTCTATTTTGCATGGTTGTCCCTGAACATCAGCTATATATATTGATGATAGAGATGTAGGAGCAGAGGAGATTTAGTGTTTTTATTGGCGGGGGGAGGGGGTTGTCTTCTTCAGTACTGTTGTTTGGTTTTTTTTCCAAATGATTTAGGATGAGGAAGTAATTGAATATTTAATATTGAACTGTTTGCTCTCATTTTCGTTACCTAATTTTTCTTTTCTTTGTTCATTATTTTAACTTTTTTTTCTGGGGGGGGAGATGTCCCTTTCTGCTGATTTTTGATTGAAAAATGTTCTTTTTGTCTAGTAATGTTGCTTCCTCTGCAGGTTGGTGGTTGGTTGTACATATGTAGATAGTTTGAAAAGATTACCATGAGCGCCTCAGATTATGTCCCAAATGAATTGTACAAACTACATTACTGAGTTTTTGTCAGGTGGTAAAGATGGTGCTGAATTATACTACAATGGTTTTCCTCATTGTTGTAAACTTAATCAGTTTTTAAAAAAATACAATATTGCATATGTGGTTGTAAAATATTCTCTTGAGGTTTTGGTTTTGGCAGTATAGCTCTACACAAATGTTTTCAATTTTTTCCTCACCAAACGACAAAGCATTCAATGATTTGTCTTTCCCCTTGAGCATTACTTACACATATGTCCTGTGTGAATAGGATGGCACAAGGGGGAAAGGAACTTCAGATTTGTTGTCAAGTTGATGAAAAATATGATTGATAACATGCATATAGTGATAAGTACTAATTTCACTAAATTATGTGTTGCTGTCTGGATCTCGATTCTTGGGCGTTGTGTTTGGGTGCTTCCAATGCACACTACTCCTTTTTTGTATTTTGGTTAATGGTTATTACATATGTCATATTTAGTCTCTCTCTCTCTCTCTGTCTCTCTCTCTCTCTCTCTCTCTTTCCCCCCCCTCTCACCCTCTCTATGTATCTATCTGTCTATCTATCTCTCTGTTTATCCATCTCAAGCTCATTCTGTCTCATCATTTCACTAAATGTGTGTGCACTGACTGGTATACTCAAATTATTATTGCCATGCTGTACAAGATAAGAGATCTGCCGTTTGATGTCATGTCATGCTGACCCTGTTGACTGAACCCACAGACACAACCAGACCAGGGACAGGAACAGAAGCCCGTATCTTAGAAAACTCTACCGGCAGTCAGAAGGCACTAAAACGCTTTCCATGTTTTGCATAGTGGTGCTAGCACTAGCAGGGAGGATCAGGTGTGGTGGTGGAAAACCGACTCTTTTTAGAGGAAGCTCAATTAAAATTTGTTTAGTATTAAAAATTAAATATATATATATTCATCTTTTGAGCTTGTGCGTTCGTTTATTCAAGAAAGAATATGAAGCCCAATAAAGCTTTTCCGGTGTGACTTGTCTGTCATAGTTGCAGTTTCTCAGAGGTTTCTTCACACATGAACATGTGGCCAGTAGTCATACCGTGCAAAAGTGTGACAACGTTGTTATACCGACCCGCAATTTCTTCCACTTCCCGTAAGATTGTATCTTTTATCCCCAAGATATGATGGCGAATCAGGGGAATAGAAGTTTTGTGGGTATTGGGTTCTGCATATATAGAGTCAGAAGGGGAGGAAGGGATGAGTTTGTGATGTGCCATTAGTCGGGGTGGATGGATTGATGTTTCAGATCTGAGATCTGGGATGATTTCTCTGGCATGAAAAGTTTTCTCCCCCACACACACACACACACTCGCGCACACACACACACACACACTCGCACACACACACACACACATACATACACACTCGCACACTTCCCCCACCTACAAACAAGGCTAAGGGTATCTTTTAAAAAAAAATTTTTTTTAGTTTCTTGATTTGTCAACGGCTCTTAGTTTACAGTACAGACTCGTGACCGCAATAATACTTTGATGACTGGGACTAAAGACTTTCAGCTAGAGAGACCTACTTCAACAACATAATGGAGCATATATTGCACTGCCAAGTGCACTTTTTTCTTAATAATGGGGGAAATTGTTGCCGTTCTTGTTTCAATGTGGACCTGTATCATATGGTTTGTTCCAGCTGGCACAGGAAATGCTATTTTTTAGAAGTAGTAGCCTGAACCCAGGGTTGAGCCATCAGTAAATATATTTGTTATTGTATCGTCTTAGGTAGCTCTAGATATAATGGGTGTTACGGCTCTCTATGACTGGAGAAGTTGTGAAGATGTGAAGAAATTGTGTTCTGTTTGCGTTTGGTTTTTTTGTGGGGGGGTGGGGGGCGTTGTTGTTCTATCATGATGTCGGTTTACATTTGGAATGCTTCATGTCATTTAATATTTATCCATTTCAGCATATCAGAAGAATTTACAAAGCCATACTCCAGTTTACTGGCTCCTGTGACTACCATCAAAATGTTTTTTGTTCCTTTTTTTTTTTTAATTAAGTTTTTTTTTTTATTTCTGCATACTCGTGTAAATAGGTTTTTGGAGTTCTTGATCCTTCCGAATGACATCAGAAGGTATTTGTGCTTTATACTACTACTGTGAGGCCAAGGAGAAAAAAAAATGTAGTTCACTCAGCCTTGATCTATTGCTGGCAATGTTTGCGGTATGATTATATGAAGCTCCCATCAACGGTTTTCTTATTTTTCTTACGGTCTCTGCTGAGATGAGCTCTGTACTATTGTAAATTTGTTCAATCTCTGTACATATAAATCTTTAACTTCCTTTTGATTTTTTCTGGGAAGGGAATTTACGTAGCATTAACGTTTAGTACATTGCGCTAGTTTTGTTCGTCCATTTGTTTTGGGGTTTTTTGTTTTTGTTTTTTTTTAAAAAAACCTCCCCCAATGTATGTTCATTACATCTACTTGCCCCATTGTCCCATTTTTCCCATACGCATCCCTTGTTTTGTCGTCAGGTTTATTTGCCTTCATGTCCTCCTGCCTCCATGTTGTCGCCATCTCATACAGTCTACTACATTTATTATTTTTTCAGTCTCTCATTAAATCAAATCAATAAATTGTGAAGCAAAATCATACAGCAAAGTTGTTTGGTGTCTTTTTGTTGTAATGTGACTTTGATTAGTTTGACTTTGCCTCTGTCTGTCTTGTCAGTTGTTGTTTTTTTCTCTCTCTCTCTCTCTCTCTCTCTCTCTCTCTCGCGCGCTTGAGATTGCGAGTTCAGGGGTTCGAGCCTCAGCTCAGTCCGACGTTGTGTCCTTGGGAAAGGCACTTTATACGAACTTCCCACTTGGCTCGGTCCTATCGGACACGGACGTTAAAGTAGGAGTGAGGTCCCGCCCCTTAATTTAATAACCTAATAGTGTTGATAGGGGCGTTAAACCTATACCATTTCACCATTTTCTC